GCGTGAGCAAAAAGTGGCATAAATGATTGTAATGTAGCATATTCCCGCGGTTACATCACTATTGTTACCTACTGGAATTTATCCGAGATTCTACAACTAACGAAGGAAACCAACACTAAGTTCTAACATTGATCGTTTATTGATCGGTTTACAATAAGTAATAAATGCACCTCTTAAGTATACTAGAATTACATGAACTACGCGGGGTTACTACCCTAACTAATATAGTGATGGCGGTGAGCTAAAAGGTCTGGTCACGCGCAGCAATTGTTTCCCCAACACAGGAGGTGGACAGGGGTGTATGTGAGTGTAAGGTGTAAGGTGTAAAGGGTATAAGGTATGCGAGGGTGAAGGGTGAGAGGACCCAGGAGACTGACAAGGGAGGATGGTCCCTACGGGGGGCGGAAGACGAGCAATTCGTACGGCCTGGGCACACCTTGGTCACGCGCTGCAATTATTCTGCAACAGCCCTCACCCGCTGGAGGTTCTTACCGTAGTAAGCTCCTCCAACGAGTGTTGCTTGCTCCAGCTAGCGGCCTTTTATAGCCTCGTCTTCGCTCACGACGCGCGCCTCGCGCGCGCCTCCCGCCCGCTGTCGCCTGCGCCGCTTGCGTCGGCATCGGTCCGCGGAACTTTCCACGGCACACGATCGGCCTAAATATTTTCACTTTACGCATCGGGAATAGCTGAACGGAGGAATATTTCTGAAATGCATTTCGTGTACAGAGAAGTTACCAATTACTCCTTGTCGAGTTTTGACTTAATGAACTGTATTTATTTTATCTTGACGTGGATTTTTCTCGTCGGTGTTATTACATAGGGAGTAGTAAAGTGTGATTAACCACATAGGTGATTAGTAACAAATCTTGATACGTCAGTAACAATTAGTGTAAGCAGTTTAGTAACACAATAACATGCACACGCACACGCGCCCGCACAAGCACACGCACACGCACACGCACACAACACACAACACACAACACACAACACACACACACACACACACACACACACACACACACACACACACACAAACACACACACACACACACATACACACACACACACACACATACACACACTAGAGAGTCTAAGCTTGAAGACTCCTAGTTGTTGAGATATCGATATTTGTTGGATCTCGCCTCTCTGTTAACCTAACTGAGTATATTCCATTTTAACTATTATATATAGTTACACGCTACATTTCATAATGGCTGGTGCTTTCATAATGGTACTATTGCAATTTCAATATTATTCAGAGAACTCGTAAAATCACACTTATGTACCGAGGTCAATGACTAAATGTTTATCCATGTGATTTACACAAAAAAATTAATTGATCTTGGATCATTTAACACTCATCATATAATATCATTATATTATACGTATAACAATTTCACTACCTACACTTTAAAAAAAGACTCAAAAGAGAGACACGAGGAGAATATATTCTTTATAATTGCCACAATTAAATTTGAAATATTAAATAAAAGTTGTTCGAATTTTTAACCGCTATTTAATGAACAGTATATATGTCAAATATGCAAAATAAATGTAATTGAATTGTACCAGTACCCCAGTAATGAAAAGGATGCATTGAAAAGTAACACCAAATCCAAGACCAAATCAAAACTCGAAATATTATTTAACACTCGAGTTTATTATCTATTATATTATCTTTGGACGGAAATTCGAAAAATGTGTGGTGTAGGTACGCGAACAAAATTAATTTTCCCTGAAAATTTATGTTTCAGTAATGCTATTGGTAACTTTACGATTAAAACTTAGTTGATATCTCATGAACTAAATTAGTCTCAGCAAAAGCAGAAATGAAATAGTCAACCATTACATAAACATAAATAATCATATACACGCAACGATTTCAATCTTTAGACAAAAACATTCACAGAAACTATCTATAATGTTCCAAAGAAAACACTATCAATAGTGATAGTTTTTTGTTTTAGAGTCGTATTCCAGAACTCTACTCAATGCTCAAGTCAGGATTTGAGCAGACTTGTGTATGATTTCAAGCACTGGAAGTCGTATTTCCAGTGCGTTCCACACGTGGCAAGATGGCAAGGACTTGAGTATGATTTCTAGTGCTTTGAATCATACTCTGGTCCTGACTTGAGCATTGAATAGAGTTCTAGAATACGACTCTTAGTGTTGAATTTTGTCAAAGAGTATTAGGCGGTCTAATCTCGTTCTCAGTCCGGCACATGCGTCCGTTCAACAATTCGCACCCCTCATGGAAGAATGACGTAAGTGGAGTTACGTCAAAAATGTTTAAGGGGTGCGAATTCTCTGACTGACTAATGACTTCTCCCTGTTTAGTTAAACGATCTTTTTGTACCATCTGCATTACGATTGTGACGCCACAAACCAGTATTGCCGTATGTAACCCTAAAAGTTTACAACTAAAATGCAATATTTTATAACGCTAAAAATTACAGCTATTTTTGAAAGCGTGTAATTTGGTTTTCTTTCTTTTCTTCTTTCACTATACTTTTTATTTGTTTAGTCTAATGTCTTTATTTTATAGGACGAGCTACAGAGGTGTTGCTTCGCGAGTGATGCTGGCGCCAAGAGAGTCAACATTACTTTATGGTTTATTTGACACACGCGCGTACCAATCTCTGTTGCAGGGCCTAACCTTCTTCCTGTCGTATGCAATCCTCGCGGCTGTACTGGGTATGCTGCAGTTCGGCTACAACACCGGAGTCATCAACGCGCCTGGCCGAGTCAGTACACTGCCTTCACGCACCATCATCAAACTTTCACGCTGCTCTCTCTCCACGAGGAGATCCATCTTCTTTTAGTTATCCGTTTGTAATTTTTTGTTTGAGTGGATTTACTTCACGATTTTGTTTATAGCTTTCCATTCATTTACCCGGCCTGGTGCAGATTCATTGACTTCTTTTCTCCCGCATACTTTTCATTAAACATTCACAATATCTTTTAGGATTACCAGAGGACTTACTCTTGCTTGATTTTCACTTGATGATGGGACTTAATCCGTGTTGAATTTATAGCTTTCTCTTATCCGTTCAATTTCAAGATAACCTTTCTGATTATTCGTAGATTTGGTCTTCTTCAAAGTAACTTTCTCCGCTAAAAGGTATTGTCAAAGACATTCATCATTCTTAATAAGCATGCAAGTACTTGAAAAGCTTTGATAAATAATCATCATACAATATTGATTGACCGCTAGAGGCATCACTTTGACTTATATTGCGTTTTGTATCAACCTATTGTCATAGAGGACATATATATGTTTGTGCAGAATATTGAGAACTTCATGAAGGACGTGTATAAAGATCGGTACGGGAAGGATATTCATGAGGACACGGTGAACCAACTGTACTCCATTGCTGTAAGCATCTTCGCGATTGGAGGCATGCTTGGCGGATTCTCGGGCGGCATGATTGCAAACCGTTTTGGGAGGTAAACATCACTACGAGGTGACATTTATTTGTTGAAATTTATTGAGACATCATTTTTAGTTTCTCTCTTCTTTTTTGTATTGATTACCCGACTCTGGTAGTGTAATATGGTGTACTATTCATTACATAAAAGATTTTTTTTTTTTCAATCTCGTATTTTTAGCCATTAATCCGATTTGTATAAATAACACCAGATTCTAGATAATCACAACTGTTGTTCGTACAATGAAATTTCTTCTCCAGATTAAATTAGTGCAGTTTGACGTGATGTTATCTCAAAGATATTGATCGGACTCTTATGAAGAAGCTTATCTTCTTCTGTTTGCAAATGATAACGAGATAGTTAATTTAACAACGTTTATATGAAAGTAACTACTTTCAAACCTGTTTGCACTACCCGTTACTTGCCCATTTTTAGCTCACAAGGTGCTTAAAATGTGTAAAATTTGAATGAAGCCTTTTGTTTATAGCATATACATTTTAATTTGACCGATCGTTCGATATAACAATTTAATTATACTGATTTGAAGTACTTCCTTACCAATCTTAAATCCTTCAATGAAAAACTGTGATTAAGTGGTATGGTAAAATTGATATGGCTTTCAACTTGGTACATCATAACATATTTTTCTTTGTTCTTATCCAATTTTACTATAGCCGAATATCGAAAAAAATATTTCAACAACACTGAGAGATAGGCGCATCTACTAAAATGTTACATGTCGTTCTAGTTAGTTAATTTTTACGGAACTAATAAGTACCTTGACTTATATTAACATTGACCGTAAACAGGAAAGGCGGACTGTTGTTGAACAACATTCTGGGTATCAGCGGAGCTAGTCTCATGGGTTTCACCAAGATCTCCCACTGCTACGAGATGCTTTTCTTCGGCAGGTTCATTATCGGCGTCAACTGCGGTGAGTTTTGATTAATAAGATCGAGCTTTATTATAGGTGGTACTTCTTTTCAACTAATCTAGTTGTCTTTATAAATAGAAATAAATAAATAGAAACTTACTAACTCACTGCGATAATAAAACCCGTTAGTATAATTTCTCAATTGAACTTCGATTACCGTGCCGGGCTATAACCCCTATCAATTTAAAAATGAAACTCTATTGTTAGCTTCGTTAAGATCATTATTTTTGCACCACTTTTACTTTCAACGATAAAACTGTAAATATGGCAGTTGAAGTGTAAACTAAAAAGAGAAAACAAAAACTCCATCCTGAAAATAGACGTTGTATTTCCGTAACACCGCGAGCAGTTTGTAAATTTCGCTATCTGAAAACCGACATACCACACAAGAATGAGATCTAATTCCGGAAAGGTGCAAAAGTAAAAGTTTCTCTCGCGTATCTGAATGGATTTATTTACCTCTGAACAAATTTTATACAACATTCTCAGTTTCTATAAATTGTTAACATCTATGTCAATAACTTCCGTAGGAAATATAGCATCTATAAATTTGATTTAGGAAGGTACTAATCGATACAAACTTTCGAAACGGACCTGAGGCTTAACTCTCTATTTCGAAAGTCAGTATGACTTTTGTTTGAATATCTGTCAATGCATATCTTGACATGCTGCGTCCTTACAAAGTCAAAGAAGTTAACACCAACCTAGCTGAAATTACTCGTCAGGAATTTCTTCCAATCAATGTTTCCAATACATGAACATAATAATTTGCCATTTAATATAAAAAAATATACTCATATAAAGGTGGAATTCGAGTTCGATGGAATCTACATATACTTAATCATGTTATATACATACATGGTACATATACATTATATTTTATTCTATTTTATTGATAACTGCCTCCGTGGCTGAACGGTTACCATAGTGGACTGCCATACAGAGGTCCCGGGTTCGATTCCCGGACCGGGAGAAATGTTTGTATGGCCTACATTTATTTCTCTCATGAGTTTAGGTGTAATTTGTGGCTGTCGATGTGAGTATCCATGGCACCCGCGATACAGGGTGTCTAGTGCGGGGCTATGAGTGTGTACGCGTTATTTGTTAATATATTATTTTACATAACACTAATGAAATTGTATGTTATATTTACTAAAAAAAAACACTTTTAACATTGAAATTAATTGCTATGCTCAAAATGATGCAAACAGGACAAACGTTTATATGCAATATATTGCTAAAACTGATATAATTGATAGACAGATGGACATTAATTTAGTCATAAACCTAGGTACGTTATTATGAATATTATAATTTATAAGTGTGGAAAGTAGCTTAGATACAATAGTATTTACTTTTGAATAAAATAAATGTGTAAATTAGTAGAGTGCTCATGTCTCATTGGTCACTTCTAATTCTAGGCAATCGAAACGTCTAAAAAGAAGAAGATTCACAAAAGTTTTGGAAAATATTGTGCATTTCAGTAATTGGGTACCTTTCCTCCTTCGCAAACGTAGTTACGGGTAAAAGAAACTGTGTACTTTTGATCAGAAGGACCGTTCGACTGTTGATCAGTTTGCATACCGTATATATGATAAATAAAGGAATACGAAAACCGTAAGCTTCATTGTAGCGTCTCGCAGGTCTGGTCAGGTGTTACGACGAAAAACAAAAAGAAATACAAGTAATAAATTCATAGTAAACAAATCTTTAAATTTAAATTCGTTTCGTGCCATTTCAAATGGCAGATTCTTTTTCTTCCGTTTACTTTAAACCTGCATTAACGTAAACGGTAAGAGTTTGTACCTAACTAACTACCAGCCTTTACTACGCTTTTCACAACGTTACCTTCCTTGAACGCGTTTATTGACGAACGTAACAAGTTATATTATTAAAGTTTCTTTTTAAAACCTACAAGTAATTTTGGTTATTATTTTAACCAAAAAGGATCTGGTAATTAATTGAGTTAAGTTCGATTAATTTAGATATTGTAATTACTCTTTACAAAGTTTTAGATAAACAAAATACGTAGATAGACGAGTACTAAAGCACTTTAATAAAATGATGGTCGGTATGAAACTGCAGAGGGGAACAAAACATCCATCGATGTGTAGTGTTACCCTAAAGGCAAATTTCCTAAAAAGCTGACAGATAAGTGTGTCTGTAGAAAATTGATTTAATATCTCACAACACAATTATATTGCGTGGGGTTAAAAACTTTCGTAAAAACGTCCATATAGATGTCAAATTATCTGTTACTTGAGAATCTGGTTATGTCGTTTGGTGAAAAGTTACTTTCAATAGGTTCCCTAGGTACGTAAAAATGCATATTTACTATGACTATGCCACTGTCTCGGAGATATTATAATTGATTGCGCCTAACAGTGTTTCTAACGTCAGACTCTATTAAGAACATTTTAGTATTCTCAATCACAACATTTAAGGACTGTACATTAAATTATACATGCGGATAATTCATCTTCAAAGCAGTCTAGATTACAATTGCCGAACTAAATTGCCCCGACGACAGCGGCTCATTAGTGTACGAAATTGAACACCTGTTTATTTCGATGCAGGACTGAACACCTCACTAGTGCCAATGTACATATCGGAGATCGCGCCACTCAACCTGCGCGGTGGGCTCGGCACGGTAAACCAGCTAGCTGTGACTGTGGGTTTACTGCTTTCACAGGTGCTCGGCATCGAACAGATTCTTGGCACCGATGAGGGCTGGCCCATTTTGTTGGGTACGTTTTGAACTTCTGCAATATCCCTAAAGATATAAATATAATCTATAACTTCATGATCATTGTAATCGCATATTTTTACCGCACCCTAAGTATCCCATTCATTTGACAATACTCACCCATTGTAGACATACCAAAAATAAGCGGCTACAGTAATCATGTAGTTAGGAAACAGGTTAGCAGGTCAGATCGATTGCGAATGTTCCGGACATTTTTCGACCACAGCATGCGTTTAATACATGATCGATCCGATTTGCTATCCTTCAATAACTATGTTCTGTGATGATCCCAGAGCACTCTTTTGATGCATAACAAATGAGTAATATGTACATGAAACAGCAAAAAATCCTTCCGGTTCTGAAAGTTTTATTACGTTACATGAAGACATGACACTTGAAGGGCGGATGTGATAAATGTGGCACTTGTGTGGTAGGATTGGCGGTTTGCCCAGCGGTGCTGCAGTTGCTATTGCTGCCGGCATGCCCGGAGTCACCGCGGTACCTGCTCATCACCCGTCAGTGGGAAGAAGAGGCACGACGCGCGCTTAGGAGGTTAAGAGCCAGCAACCAGGTAAGTTAAGCTTTGCCTCAACAGTACCTATCTCGGACAATGTCGGTTGAAGGTACCTACGCTGTTTATTTTGTGCAACTTTGCAGACTTCATAAGGTGTTAAGTAACTCATACGCTGTGGATACGAATTTTTGTTCACAAGCTCCATACACTGAACGCGACTAAACGGTGTCTACATCATTGTGTTATCAATTTTGTAATATGGAGACGGTGCCGAGTTCGTTGTGTGAACTGCCTTAATCTTCAAAGCATCGGTACTGCTTAGGTGTTACACGTAATTTGCAAAACTTTGCAAGGAAGCCCTTTAGACGGTTAAGACAGTGTAAACAGCATTGTGATGATGATGGGACAGGTGGAGGAGGACATCGAAGAGATGCGGGCTGAAGAACGTGCTCAGCAGGCAGAAGCATCGATTTCGATGCGCGAGCTGCTTTGCTCGCCCACACTGCGTGCACCACTGCTTATCGGCGTCGTTATGCAGTTGTCGCAGCAGCTCAGTGGCATCAATGCGGTAACCACTGCAATATACTTGTATGGTTTTAGTACTGCGTAAGACCTGGGACAGTTGATCGTGGTGCCTGATAGACCGACGACCTGGTGGCGGTCGAGACTGCCTGGAAGAGAAAGGTACAGAACTTGTAATTAATATGAGGCATATGTCCAGGAGAGGACATGGCATAAAGAGACCGAACAACTTACTCAACAGACAATGAATTCGTTCATGGGTCATACCTGAGTAATGATCGGAAAAGTATCAAAATTTAGAAAACACATTATGTAACATATGTATAAAGAAAAGTCACATGAATTGAAAGGTTTTTTACTTTCGTTCACTTTTCGATTAAGATTCACATAGTACATTGTTCAGGTGTTCTACTACTCAACATCACTGTTTACATCATCGGGGCTGACGGAAGAGTCGGCGAAGTTTGCAACGATGGGGATCGGTGCAATCATGGTTGGGATGACCTTGGTCTCTCTCCCCTTGATGGATCGCACCGGAAGACGTACGCTGCACCTCTACGGCCTGGGAGGAATGTTCATCTTCTCCATTTTCATCACTATTTCTTTCCTCATAAAGGTGTGTCTTATAAAATATCCACGAATTGCTACTTTTTAATAATATTGCCCACAGAAAACGTCACACTTAAGTTACCTTTTCGTTAGCAGTGACCCCGTTAGCAGTGACTCTTTTGAAAATTACCTAATGGGCAATAGTTATTAATAAGTAACGGTTTCTTTTTATATTAAAAAAAATACTTTAGTTGATCAATAAGTGCATACAGTGGTATTAGGATTGAGTGTTCCACTACGAACGTCTAAAGTACCAAGTTCGAGTTATTTAAGACTCTTTAATTGAAAAGTTTGTTGGATGATTTTATAGTTATTGATGAATAATGAATTTTTTTCTGAAAACACTAAAGTATAAAAGTCCTTCAATAAAATTACAATAGTACTTATTATACTTAAGAGTATTATATATCAAATCTAAAAGTAAACTAGACAGCTACGATATTTATCTAAAATAAAATAGTAATAAACGGTCATAGACTATATGTAGGCAATTCAAAAAGATAAACATTAAAAAGTGAACATTGGTACATAAATGCAAATTGTAACAGAAAGGAGAAAAGTGTTTGTCTAAATAGGTCCCTTAAGAATAAGAGGTGTTCTTTCTTAGCAATTTCAACCAATGTTCTAAGTCTTCTTTGCTTAAGAAAGTAATATTAGAATAAATAATAGGACAAAGGAGTCAAACACTTGAACTATATTGAGTCTTTGGCTTCTTTGCGGCTCTTCGCAAACAGTTATTTAATTGAATAAAGAGTTTGTTTAGTGCCCACTTTTAGTAACCGCTTAAGCACGCTTTTACATTGCTTTACTCTGTCACTCTAAGACCCACTACTATTTGTCATCTCTTAATTTATTATACTTTTTGTGTCTTGGACTTTTGAATCCCACCTTACATTTACATAATAAGGATGTGAGAAAACGAAAGACACGCGCAATAAAAAACAATACTTATTTGTGGAGCCCTGTATCATCTCATAGTACCTTTGAAGTGCATGCACTGCATCACGATTCGTTATCTCACGTGATCACTTTTATTTGCTTGGCTTCGCTCCCATCCCTATCAACCCACACTCCCCCCCCCCCCCCAATACGGCTTTCCTGTTTCCGAAACCGGACTCTCGGTAGGCCAGCGCTGTATATAAAAAAGAAATAAATTCTCAAATATAATAGGTACATCACTCACAGCACTGAACACTTTTTTTTACCACTTGACACGAGAAGAAGACTCGAGGATCAGAGCTAAAGCACGCGAAAGAAGCGAGACACAAACGCTGTTCAGAACCAGATGGCACTTTCACTATAGCATAAGCAGTCAGCGCTTGACAATGTGGTTGGAGTCAGTTCCCTGACCAGTATATACGAACAGTCACCTCCAAAGCGATAGGTTACAATATCTGCGCTGGCTAGACTTAAACCCATTTACACAACTAGCACATGAATTTCCCTATCGCCCTCGGAGGGTCTATCAATATATAGGTATCAGGGAAAAAACATCAACGACATTATCAAGCACTATACAGCTAACAGACGGGAATGATACTACACGCTCGGCACTTGGTGTGGAGGATACAAATCCATATTAAATACTTCATTTGCAATACTGCAGCACTGGATCAACCAGGTCGACACACTCACATAGACCGACAGCCTTTGGGATATGCTTTGTTCAAACACAGAGAATATTTATCGTGTGTGATGTGCGTTTATGTTTGCAATTTATTTCATCCGGTCGGCGACGGGAAAGAACGTGGTTGCTATCCCCTGATAGGAGTTTTTCGGGTATGTGCAGGAAATGATAGATTGGATGAGCTACCTGTCAGTGGTGTCCACGCTGAGTTTCGTGGTTTTCTTCGCTGTGGGCCCCGGCTCGATCCCGTGGCTCATCACCGCCGAGCTGTTTTCACAGGGACCGCGACCCAGCGCAATGGCCATCGCAGTTTTAGTTAATTGGTTAGCCAATTTCATCGTTGGAATCGGCTTTCCTAGCATGAAGGTAACTAACTGTTATTCGAATTTAAGTTCATTAGTCAAAATTTTAATAATGTGAACATTTCACCTTTTTAATTTTCATTTTGCAGGCACTATTGGAAAACTATACATTCCTGCCTTTTAGTGTATTCCTTGCAATTTTTTGGATATTTACGTACAAAAAAGTTCCTGAAACCAAAAATAAAACCTTCGAGGAGATATTGGCACTGTTCCGGAATTCGAATG